AAACTGGATCAGGATGACCCACAAAAGTGCATCTTTATTTAGACAAATGCTCGCTTATTTCCCCAAGTGCAGGCATCATCGATCTTGGTTCTGGAGGCAGGTGGAGCCAACGAGATCATGCAAAGCGAACAGGTGGCAACGGGCTCAGGAAGTTAGGCTTAAGACGCCCGGTGTTTTTTCAAACTCCAAGCAACCGTTGGGATGACCAATACGGCGATCCGACGTCCCAGAGTCTGATTATTTCGGCCAGTTTTGGCGCGTGAATTTGTATGAAAGGTTTCTATTTGCTCATGCTTAATTTTAATGGTAATACTTTTATTATAATTTTCTACAATAACAAAACATTTGCTGTATAAATATAATATCGAAACCATATAAATAAGAGAATCCTTAAATCGGTCAAATTTATTGCTACAATCAAACCCAATAATCAATACACTAATGTCAAACATGGCTTTTGTCTTCAACGATGTAACGGTCGAGTAAGGTGGGCGAATCCGTTAAACTAGACATTTTCGTTTCAAATTAATAATTAACGAGGGACACGCGCGACCATCGGCGATTGATCTTAGCTAATTGACACTCATTGACCTGGTTTGGGATGACAATTGATCGACGACACGCAACCGGCGTACGAGATTAACAGGATAGTAGAAGCCGTAGCTGAGGAGATTGCACTCAAATCGATTGCACTTTAATCCTCTTAGGCAGCGTACGGTCTTCGGATCAATGATGCGAATGTAGATTGGATAAGAGAATATTTTCATCCGAGTGCATCACATTGAGTGGTGCGATGTATTGATTGCACCACCATTTGCACCAGCACCACTTGGCGTTATCAGAACACTAACGGCGCTTGATATAAAGCGAAGATAAATGGAAAAAAAATGATCAAATTATCGAAAGTGAAAGCAAAGAAAATATAAGAAATATCTAGCGTCTTCAGTAAAGCAGACGAATAATAATTAATAATAACAAGGATGATTAATAACTAATACCTTCGTCACGATTATAACTAGGCAGAGGGGACATGAATACGCATTTCTTTGAAAATTGCTTCGAAAAAATTATTAACCGCGCTTGCTTTCAAAAATTGATGGACGTTTGAAATTAACAAAACGGACCTTATTTTTTCTGCATCTTTTCCGCATCGTGAACATGACAGAAACCCTTACTCCCCTTCCCTATAATCAGCGACGAGGGCTGCAGCACCATTCTGTGATAGCGAGATTTTTACATTGAGTCACAAAGGCAGGCCAGCGAGTAGCCTTTTTAAGAGATTATCCTCTTGAATGCCTTTATTATGGGACCAACTCATGGGTGAGCGATGGCTAAGAGCTGGATGTATTCTCTACGAATAGCTTCCTCTACAACGTAGATCAGAGTACATACAAATACAAAAAAAGGAGCGATCGATGACAAGCCTCAGGGTGAAGCTTTCAATAGGTCGTCTTGATGACAGCTTAGGAGAGATGCGAAAAACTGATAGCTGCTCGACAACCTTGTATTGAAATGAGATGGATCGTGATCAGTCTGGCGTAATGATAACACAGCGAAAACTTAAGCCGGAGCATTACCACGAACCATTTTTATTTTCGTACCTCGGAAAAAACTAAGAAGGGAGCTCGACGTGTAGCGAAAAAAAATCTTGCCAGAACCTTTTGAAAGGAAGACAGTAATCGTTCTCAAGTATCTGAACAAAACGGACTAAAATCTCTCAAGAAAGAAGAAATAAGATCAGAGTTTTGCTCGAAAACAGTATATACCGGTATTCGGTACATATACCCAGGAAAAATGAGGGAGTCATTTTGTCCAAATGACACTCTTCCCACATTACGCGCAGAGTGCAACGTAGCACCGATACCCTCTTTTACCGGGCCAAAATGGTTTCCATAGGTACTAGCGCGTATAAAGTATCGCTATTTGGACAATAAGCCACTCATTCTTTTGAGTGTGGACTGACAAAACCTCAGGGCCAGAGACGATGACTAATTCCTTAGCGAGTTGGCACCCGCATCGATACGGAGCGTCTCCCGAATATATATAACCAATGCTTTCACTTGCACGCTACTATCACTGACAAATGACATTTCATTAAGTTTTTGGTAACGTTTAACAAGCTTTTAGTGTCGTAAAACATCGTTTGTAGCAACCATAGAAACAAAAACAGTCGAAAGAAGACTAGACTTTAATTCGGCGTTTCGATCCGCGCGCGCCACGAGACTTCAGTGGTCACGTTTACATTCGCATTCATGCATCGAAAGAAGAGAGCAAGCTGTACGTTTTCACGCATGATCTATTGTTTGAAGTAATTTAAGATTACAGTTAGACTCGGAAAATTTTTATCTTAGGTGAAATCTCGATTATTGAACTTTTTAAATTTCAATGCGAAATATTGGATGCGATTCAGTGTCGATGAGAATTGTAAGTTCAGAACTGAACAACTTTAGGCCACGTTGACTTATGTAGGTAAAACGTAAAATGAGGCAGTAAATAGGATAGCACCTACAGTGTGCAAGAAGCATTCTAACGCAATTTTATGAAAACATCCATAAAATCAAATTTATTGGCACCCCATTAAAAAAAACTTTTCACCACACTTGGATACCAATGGAAGAATTATTAGACGTGATATGCGGATAGTAAATGCACAACTGCTATGATAATATGATAAATGAAAAATTTACAATCAAAAGCTCCGTGTGCGCCATACGAAAAACGTCGATATGGGAACTGAGCAGACGTAGCATATATAGCGACAACGGTGCGTACGCTCAAGACATTCAAGACATCGATAACGGCGCAGCCGGAGCGATGCTCGAAACAAAAGAACTTCGACGCTTCTCTTGGATTGAAAAGAAGCCGAGTGTGAAGCATCCCAAGAAGCCTTTTGCAAGATCGAAAAAATTCTTTGTTTCATTTTGAATGAACGCAGGGCCAAGTTCGTACGTCCTCATTATCAAGGTCCGACAATTTCAAATTATCGAATACAAAGGGAAACTTCCAAGACGATTCAAAAAGTCTCAAGAAATTCTTTGAAATGTTCATCGCGCTCCAGCACTGCCAATTGTTAGACACTGAAGCGTGATCGCCACAAAGATCTTTTGGGTCACAGACTGATTTGTAAAGTAAAACTTCAGAAGTCTGTTATAAAGCTGGTTGTGAACTCGTTCTACGGACGTAAACGTTGACATTGTATGGGTTTTATAACAATTCTAGCAGATGATAAGTATGAAAATTTAGTTCCAATTTAACGGCTACAAACGAATTTTCTTACACGAGCGTCTGAAAGTCAGCGAGGGGGTGGGGGTCTGTGGATAGATTTATCGTTTCATCGTCACTTCATGCATCAACTTGACAGTTCTACCGGGAAAATCTTGAAAGAAAATCTGCATATTTTGTATATATGTATATGCCTTTATCGATAAAGCAAACTAGATGAGTGAAAAGACTTATAATTCGATTTGTTCAAAACTTCAAATCATTAGAAAGGAATAATCATTAATTAATATATCATTTCTTAGGCAAGATTCCCTCGTCTTCAAACTCAAAGACGACCATTGATCTGTAAGCATCGCTCAGCCGATCCAAGTTATCGTAGTTTTCGTAGAGAAAAACCAACAAGTTTTCATTTACGGGTCCGAAATTGTCCCACATATCTAGATCGCTCCCTTGTATTGGTCAAGGCGGTTTGAAGCTCTAGAAAGCTCGTAATAATATATATTATTTATGTAATATAGATTCAGAACTTCCAAAAATTTTACTCTGTCGCACTCCACGCAAGAAGAGCTCCGTGTAGGCGACCAAGGACCGAACGACCGTAGCCCCGGGCCAGCCACCGCCCCAAGCTGCAACATCCGGTCATTATTGCAGCGAAGCTGGCAACCGCCACCTCTACCAGCACCTAACGCTGGACGCCTACAAGCTTCCAAACGTCAAGCTCTTGTCACGTACCGCCACCTCCACCAGCACCTAACGCTGGACGTCTTCAAGCTTCCAAACGTCAAGCTCTTGTCACGTACCGCCACCTCCACCAGCACCTAACGCTAGACGCCTACAAGCTTCCAAACGTCAAGCTCTTGTCACGTTTCATCATGACAAATCTTAGAATCAACACCCGACATTTCAACTAGCACTTAAATATGGGCACCAATTAGCATGTGTATACACTTATACTTGGCTAATGGCTACCAATCGAAAAGTCATTTTCACGTTCCTGCGTCTGAACGAATACTACTATTAAATTTATCAACCTCACAACACCAACTCACGGATCCACACTTCCATTCGCTACCCTCAGCATCACTGGCTGGGCTGGATGATTCAAAGACAACAATTACTAGACTGAGCTTAGTTATCTTTAAAAAATTAACGATTAATTAAATTGAAACACGTTTTATAGGAAACTTTTTCTCGCGAGACAAGTACTCAAGTAGTAATGGAAAATGTTGCAAATTTCTAGTTTTCAACCAGGTTACCACTTAGCATTATTCATCGCATTCGGTGGATTGCATCTTTAAATTTTAGGCAATAATTTTTTAATCATCGCTAATAAATTGCAATTCAGGAAATTTGACGAAGCTACAAAAATTATCCTACACCGATTAGGAGCAGAAGGCGCGATATGTAGATATTATTAAATTTAAAGGGTGCAATTACTGAATTAGCCTATAATTGCAGATCTGCAATTTGATAGCAATGCAATTAGTTTGACAAAAAATTCATGCCCTGCGGTGAAGATTAGCCGGTCATCGATGTTTACCTATTAAAAAAAATTTTCTGGAGAAAATTTGCAGAAATCATGTTGTGGAATAATAATTAGAAATTAGGAATGTATGTCTATATGCGTAGGAAACAAATGTACGTTTCTCCATAGAAAATTAAAACTAAACTAATTGAAACATCAAAATGAGTCTTGAAATAAAAACCAGCTCAGGTACATTAGGTTTCCGAATAATTCATAAATGAACATTCAACTGAGTTAGATTATATATACTCACCGACTGAATAATCGCTGACTACAGGCGGAGACGCTGCATTTGGGGCCTGAAGTGGTGATTGTGGTTCGGCAATTACAGACACGCAACACACCAAACAAACTAGAGATAATAATAACTTTCTAGAAGCCATCGCGTCACTAGAATGTAACTAAAAAGAATCAAGTATATTGAAGATAGCACTAGTCCGCGGCGTCCTATCCAACAGTAGTTACTAGTTAGTAGGTAGAGATAGCTTCCTATGCTTCGTTCAAATTTCTCAGCTTCATATGCAAGTGAAACGAAATCTACAAAGACACCTGTAGAGATAAACAAGTTGAATAAAAGTATTTATAAATCGAGCAGAATTAGTAATTTTTTTAATAGTGCAAACGGCTAAGCTTCTGCCAGAGACATTTTGTGACTTGCAGTTTTTTTTCTAACCTGTCTTTGTTCTTTTTTTTAGCGATCAACCAAATTCGCGAGTTCATCGTTGGAAACCGAATTTCAAAATTCTACTCAAATATTTTAAACACATGAAAAGATTTACAGAATTACACATTCATTAGTTTAAATTCAACGTAATACTAGAGTATATTCAATGCAATATTACATTTGATCCCTAGAGGAGGACGACAGGGAGCACAGCACACACTACCACGGTGACCGCAGGAGAGAGACTGAAGCTTGGAGTCCCGCGCTCGACGACGGCCGCCGGAGAACAGGTAACCGGCGTTGGGTGGGGGTCAACGGGGGTAAAGGGGGTGTCAATGAAGTGGAGGTTCACAGGTATCCGTTGACGAAACAGTAGCGCTCTAATTTTGGAGCCTATAGAAAATTTTACTGGAGTTCTAGCTGCGGAAATTTCGAAATTAAATTAATTACCGTAATCCGTTTTAATTGTTAACTTGATAAAAATTGTAGTAAAATTATAATTTTTGGGGGGTTGGCCATCCATTGGCAGCCCGAAAGATGCTAACATTTAAGTTAACTTTTTGGCAACGGTTAGGGTAAGAGGAAGGCAGGTTTACGGTCAACCTTTGTTAGTTTAATTTTATGCTGTCGAGTAACTGATGTGGGATAAGACTTGTAGTGGCATTCTCTGCTCGGTAGGGGACGTCGAACACCAAACAAAATTAAATAACGATCAAAAATATTAAGAATTTGGAATACACTTTTTGCAATTGAAGAATTTTTTTATTCAGAGGCATTAGAATTCATTCGCAGAAGCATCCTAATTATCGTCTTACGTTAATTGTGTAAAGTATTACGATATTAGAGATAAGATTAACGCAGCTTAAAGCTTGACTGTTCGGCCAAGGGACGTCAGAGGCTAATATTTCTTTTAATATTCCAGTACTTAACACAACATCGAACCTCTTACCCATAAATGGTATTAGTCACCTAATATAGTATGATATAAAAATCTTAAGTGCTGAAATGAATAACTCAATATAAATGGATATAATTGGACTCTCTTGCACATAAACCAAAGTGTCACCGATATTTCGCATGAAGCTTTATAAACAAATAATTGAAGTTACCCAAGTTAAATAATGGAAGTCACCCCAAAGATTTTACACGAAGATACAATGCATTTAATTGAGTTCAGCAAAAAGATTACTCCGCGTTTTCATTTGGAGAGATAAAGCATTTAATTGACTTCGAGCTCCAACACTCCGCTGTACCCACAACCATCAGCTGATGGTGGAAGGATGCATTCCAATCCTGTAAATTGTAGGACGCAGGTAAGAAAAACGCGGCCATGTTGAGGAAATAACTTTACCAGCAGACAAAAGCTATTCAGTTACAACAGCAGGGAAGGAACTTCCAATGATTGTGCTGTTTAGGTGGCACAAGCTTCAAATACATCTTGTACTTCTTGGTGTTTATGAACTTCAATTACATCTTGTGGGAGCTGCTATGTTGAGATCAGATATGACGTTCAGAAAATGCATGTGACTCAGGACTCAACTGTGTTCCATCGTTATATAAAATTTGTAATTCGTATAGATTCAGTGTCGAAGTAATTCAAGTGGAGTATTTTTATTGTAGTATTTCATCCTTATATAGAACAGGGAATTTACGATATTATTGATGAATATACAATCAGAGTTTTGTTTCTTGTACAAGGAGCCTGGAGGATGAAAATTGAAGAAAGCTTATTGTGTTGAAGTAATAGAAAAATTCAACTTCAGACCAGAGGTCATCTATTTAAATTTTAAAACAATGGACATGAGTGAATTAGGACGGTAATTTAGGCAATTATAGATATTAATTTTGAATGAATGTTCAGTTATTAAACTTGGTGGGCGAATAGCGAACACACGTTCCTCTGAATAGCGACTCCGCGTTCACGCAAAGCGTCTTGCATGAACGTGGACAAATCTCTTTATTATTATAAATGGTTACCTTACTAAACTTTTCATTATGATAAACGGCTACCTGATGATTCATTAGCGTAACATGTTTTTACATTTTATAATATTTTCAAATTGTACTGAATTTAACACAAATTATTTCATAAATACCCTAGCAAGAAATGTAATGCAATGTATGCCCATACGGCAAAAAATTAGGCAATACAGAAATATCACTGATATGTCTGGAAATTGATAAATATTCTTCTTTCAAAAGTATTTTGTATTAAATTGTACACCTGAAGTTAAGTATTTGGTTTATGTATCAGCGTGAATGCGGCGTGACCGGGAGCGGTTGAAAAGGAAGGGGTGGGTCCCCCAGACTGAGTGGGTTGGGGGTGTGAGTGGGGGTTGAGTGGGTGGGGGTGTCGGTGGAGGAGGGGGGAGTAGTTTTAAAAACAGGAGGAGAATGATGCGTCTCTTGCACCTTGGAATTACTCTGATTTGGTTTTGGTGCTAGCATTTCATTATGCAGCAGCGAAATAGAAAGTCAGTGCCTATTTTCGTGTGTTTAACTATTTAGAAGGAGGAAAATTTTCGATGTAGTACGATTTCTTCATTTATATATTAATGAATGATACGATTTCCGCATTTTTATATTATTATATAAGTTAAAATGAAGTAATAAAACAATTGATAAGGTTTCTTAGTGAACTCATTCCACTAGTGTTCTAATTTTAACGGCCTTAATACTCAAGGTGCCCTTCGGAAAGTTATTTTCAGCATAGATGAACTTGTTTTTATTAAAATATATAATTCTCAATAAAATATGGTTTCCCTAGGTTCCTCTGGAAATAACTGTTAGAAATAAGGTTGCCACTAGAATATTTTCACTGGGAACCTTATTTCTAAAAGGGGAACCATATTTTATTGAGAATTAGTTGCTAGAAAAAAAAAGAGAATTATTTGCTAGAAAATATATGCTGCGAATGTAAAAATTCAAGATAAACAGCCTGGAGCTGCGCGGGGGCCATCGTCGCAACAATCACGATTTCAAAAGGCGACCTGAGAAGAAAGCGCCTCTGTATTTTTGTGTGTGTTTGTGTTTTTTTTTTTCTAGGGGCAAAGGACGGCCGGTCGGTCGGTCGATAGTCGCACTTCTGCCTATGAATTGAGAGCCTCATAACTTTACACTCAGAGAAATGAGTGGGACTTTGTCCAAATAACAATGCACTTCTCGCGCATTTGCCGGTCATCCTGACTCAGTTTTACCCGTCAAAAGGGGCGTTTAATGCTACGTACGTTCTCTGCTCCCGCTGTGGGTGAGAAAATAGGTCACATTATGGACAATTTGACGCATTTTTTTCTGAGTTAAATTGAATGTGAGTTTGAATTCGCTCAACATGGATTTTGCCAAGTGCACCGACTTACTATCGAGTTTTCATAAAAACATACAAACGACAGTCATATAGATGCACAAATTATTCGGTTCGAAAAGAACATGACCTCTGAAATTGATGCCACGGCTCCATAGAAGGCCTATTGAAGTATTAACATGTATTGGATAAGTAAGTATTAAATCATTTATTCTTAAAACATAATGAAATAGTTACTAAAATAAATAATTAACTAATTAAATAATCACAAATTAAATAATCAGTAACTAAATAAATAATAGTAATGTCGACAGCATCGATTTGGTCGAAAAACAGCCCGTAAGAGGTCGATTTTATCTTTTCAAGGTCAATTATCAACTTTAGAATCATGTTTCTAATATTGAACTGTAGATGTCCGGTTAATAAATCAGACTAGGTCGGTTCCATGTTCAACATGTACCTTTAGAGTGATTAAGAATTTAAGAAATAGCCCTAATATCGGGCATATAGTTCGTTCATGACCGTATGGGTACGGTCATGAATTTTTATGCACGTGCGATGTAAAATGTAAAAGAACGATAAACAATATTATTTTATTAGTGCCCGACAATACGCATACAAAAGTAATATTCACGTCTGGATGAGCGAGTGTGAATGAATAAATAAATAAGTAAATAAATCAGCTAGAAAAAATGTTACACTCTCAGTTTCAGTGCCCAAAGCCGGATATGAAGGACGGGAAGTTATTTATGGTCAGTTCATTTGATAATTTGAGAAAAGAAGATGCGAACGGATTTCCGGAGTATACTCCTAACAAGAAGCGTCAACTTGCAGGAAATTTGTTCATGCGTCACGCGTGTTCTTCTTAACAAAACTGATAACATATTTCCGAAAACATCATCTTCGGATGTGCGTAGTAGTGAAATAGAGCTCAAGATGTGTCACCATAATAAGATTAAGATGTTTCACCATCGGCATTTTTTGATGTTGCGTTACTGTGAACGCAGCAGTTTTGATTATGATGTGTAATTTATTATAAAATTTATGTTTTTAACTAATTTAACTCACTATTATTAATTATTGATTGCATGACAATTCAGTTCGTGTAAAAATATTTGGTGTCGATATTCTTTGAAAGATAGACAATTGAATCAATGATATGGATGTTTCAGAGATAACGGCCCAAAAACTTATGAGTTGGTATTGGGTCAAATTCAATATCAAATCGATATAAATTTTAAATCCTAATTTTTTAAAATCATTATAAATGGATATAAATTTTAAATCATCATTTTTTAAATCATTATAAATGATATACATTTTATTTACCTCAACCGAAGGCTACGAAGACGATTCCAAGCACTCGTTCGAACCCACCACACTCTAATTAACACACTCTAAAAGTCTACACACTCTAATTATGAGCTCTTGAGCGACACTTCAATGAAGTGACATTTGATCCGAGGCAAGGGTCCCTCTCACGGATAAGGTTCCTAAACGATCCGAAATTCAATGGACCTTCGGATAAAAACCTCCTCTATTGAAGTAATTAAAGCTTTGACTGACAGAAAGTTCGTGGAGGCAAGGACCTAAAAAGTTAGTGGGAATAAGGTTACAATCGAAGGCAACGTGTAACAAAAGCGAGGATCGCAATGGCTGGGAACGAAGGTGTCAGACGTGTGCAGAGCTACGATGTGATGAGAACATAATCGCAGGCTGTCACCACAGCCATCATGGAGTTTTGACCTTCACACTGAAAATTAAAATTACTATCGAACTAATAACCATAATCATATGATAGCCATACACTAAATATTCGTTTCGGGTATCTATTAAAATTTTCCGCTTTCTTACATAAATGAAGTTGATTATACGATACATGACAAAAAACTCAATCGAAAGTGTTTTATTGTGATAAAAATTATTCTCCAATAATGGTTAATTGCA